ATTTTTAACTTGATTTCCTCTCTTTTGACTTTTGTAAAATAAGATGTTTTCATTTTTGAGGATGGTGTTAAATTAATCTTACTGAGGCTCAAATACATTCTTGTGAATTTTGTTCCTGCATTGAAGCAGGCTTAATCTGAAAGTTTGCCAATGTGTCATTTTCTACTTGTGAACCTTAACAAACAATATGAAACTTAGAAAAAGCCTTACAAAGTTAATTCAAATAATCCCTAGTCAGAAAAAATTAAATGTTTGCTTTTTTTTTTTTTTTTGGTGGAGAAACGGAGACTAGCCTGATTTAGGGGCACCTCAAATGTTCTGTCTGCTACAACTCTGGAGAAATTCCAGCAAGGTCTTCTAATGGCTGTGATAATCACAGCGTTACATCTCGTTCCCCATAAGAGAAAACCATTATAAAATAATTGATCATTTCAAATGCAGTCAAGACAAAATGATTAACTATTAATCAAGAATCTTAGTGATTATATGGGCTCATAGAACAAAGTGATTGAAGCATCCGTTTGAAGCTGTGGGAATTGATTCTAGAAAACCACCGTGTCTCAGGATTGGTTCCAAAAGCATCCTTTGGGTTGAGTTGGCCTAGGGTAAAACTAGAAAAGACAACATATTTTCTCCCACAGTAGTGCTTATCAAACATCTGTGTGCATCAGAATAACGGGTGGGCTTGTTAAAACACAGATGGCTGGGCTCCATCTCTAGAGTTTCTTATTCAGTATATCTGGGATGATGCTTGCTAATTTGCTTTTCTAACAAGTTCATAGCTGATGGTAAGGTTGCTAGTCTGGGAACCACAGTGTGAGAACTAATAAACATGCTGCCCTAGAAGAAAAAAAAAAATTAGTCATCCTATATATCCAAAACTAGTATGCCATATTTTCAAATTAGTGGATGGACACAGTGAGGGCAATTAACACTTATTGAGCACCTACTTGGCATCTGCTAGGCCCTGTGAAATAGATCATTTAACTCTCTCAAGAGTGCTCCTAGGCAAGTACTTTTATGACCTCCATTTACAGACAGGAAAACTAAAGAAAAAGAAAGGTTAAGTAAGTAGCCTGAAGCCACATAGATAGTAAAAGATGGAGCTGACTTCTGGGCCCAGGCAGTCTGACTCTAGAGTACAGTGCTGACTTTGATCTACATATACACCTCTCAAAGAGAAATTGTCATATAGTGTCAAGAGAACAAGTTTGAGGTCGGATAGAATTGCAGTGAAACCTAAACTTCACATCATGTTTACAAACTTTAAGTGACAAGCAAATTAAATCTTTTAACTTTAGTGTCCTTATAGGTCAAATGGGGATAATATCTATTCTTGTAGGAATGTTGGAAAATAAAAAATAATGTATGGAAATCACTTAAATAAAGGTCTAGCATGTGTGGTGGTCAACAAATGGTAGCCATCATCTGCTCACATCAACTGTAGCTCTAGACACATCAAGAATTAACTTGCTAATTCTATCATCCATTCATCTATCCAATTATCATATGTTAAGCAATTATTATGAAACAAACATTGAGATGTTTTCCAAGAGCTATATCTGTAGCTATAGATCTAGAAATCAGTGGCATTCTATAAACACTCATGATGCACTGGATTCAGACGGAGACCAGACAACTGATGGGTAGAGGCAGTATTTACCAATTCAGATCTGAGGTTTTACTGGAGCTGTCTTCACAGCAGTCTTTTTGGCCTACGCATTCCAAGTACCAGCTCAGCACTTGTGTATTCAGTCTTTCAGGTCAAATGCCTTTTTGAATTTTGGTACTGCCAAGAAACAGGCAATGTAGCCTATTTAACAGTTGCCTCATCCTTTGAAATGTTGAATCCTTTTGTGGAAAGAGTCTTTACTTGCCTCCTTTGGCTGCAGATTTGCCATATGGTACCCTGCAGCACTGCAGGTGCAGTGCCACCCAGTGTGTGATTCATGTCTGCAGATAGTGTGGGGAGATTTCCATAGCAACAGGCCACCAAAAGATGAGATGAGGAAAAGTCAATGTTATGTAACAGAGGTTTTCTGTTTTGTTTTTGTTCTTATGCTGTGAGGGCAACTGGTTTTTTATTTCTTATGGATTTTAATGAGGTAATACACTGAATTTACTAATAAATTTCTCCTATAGGTCAAGCCACAAAAAATAGAACACAGAAACTCAAAAGTACCTGAACTTTTCATCATCAGTTAATCAAATTTCAAACTCAGATCTCTTTATCTTATTTTAATTATAAGTCCAGAAATGTGCTTCAGAAGTAATCAATAAAGGACAAGAAAATGTGATTTGATATAGAGTTTACTAATATTTGTTTATCAATATATATTGAGTCACTATTATAAGCTAGGCACTGAGATGAACAACAGTCTTTGTCTTTGAGAAGCTCCAAGTCTGGCAGGGAAGAAAAAAACACAAGCAAATACGCTGGATACATTATAATTGATGGATATCATGCTATGAGCAGCAGCAGGACTGTTCTTATTGATAATACAGGAGGTCAGTTTCCTGGATCAACCCTCTCTGCTGAAACATCCTAAAAATTGTGGATAAGATATTAAATATAAAATTTAAGCATTAATAAGCTCTCAGGAAAATAAGAAATTCTCAGGTCAGTCACCAATAAAGAATAGCAATTTAATTTTGTGGGGGGGGACCAAATTGCTTTATTTAAAGGAATGGTACAAATGAAAGAACTTAAGTAGATGTTTTGGCACAACTTATAGAAAAGATAAAGGTAACCCCAACATGCATACACTGTCTTGGCGACCAGGGAAGTCCCTCCCGTGGCCATGGGAAGCCAGCCTAAGGTTTAGCTCTCCTTATCACTGTCTCCTGGAGTGTGCTTGTCAAAGAGATACTCTGCCATACCAGATTCTGGCCCCCATTATGGGAAAATTGGTTACAGTGGTTACCCAACTCTTTGATGAATTTCACCTGCTCATTCAAGTAAGGAATCTCAATGAAGTCACACAAATGGGGGTCGTTTTGTCAGTGGCCAGTTTGTGCAGTTCCAGTAGTGACTGATTTATACTCTTTTCCAAGCATAATGCACCCTCCATTATATTCAGCCCATTCTTCCAGTCGTCACAGTCTGGTTTCTTGATATCCTGAAGGAAGATTCGGTCACCTTGTTGGTTCTGCAGCCTCATCAGTTTCTCAACGTATTCCCTCTTCTTATGAGATTGGTGAAGAAAATATTTGGCAAAGTTCTTTAAAGCCACATCATCTCGGTCAAAGTGGTAAGACATGGACAGGTAGATGCAGGAGGCATAGAGCTCCAGGTTGATCTGGTGGTTGATGGCTGCCTCCGAGTCCTGATGGTAGTTCTGGCGCACCTGCGAGGAGGACGTGGTCCTCATGGCAGGTGGCTGAGGAGAGGTCGTGGCGGTGGCAGTGGCTGTGGCGGTCTGAGGGAGCTGTGAAGAGGTGGTGGAGGGCTGCCTCCGAGCACCAGGCAGAGTGGGGGATGAGCACTGGTTCAGTCCAAGTACTGTTGGAGCAGGAAACTGCTGGACTCTTGGTGAAGAACTACCAAATGAATTCAGTAAACTTGCAGGATACAAAATCAATACATAAAAATCTGTACCATTTCTTTACACTAATAATGAACTATCAGAAAGAGAAATTAAGACAATAATCTCATTTACAATTGCATCAAAAAGAATAAAATACTTAGGCATAAATTTAACTAAGGAGGTGAAAGACCTGTATGTTGAAAACTACAAGACATTAATGAAAGAAATTGAAGACACAAATGAACAGAAGATAGTCCATGCTCATGGATTGGAAGAATTAATATTGTTAAAAAATCCATACTACCTAAAGCAATGTACAGATTCAATGCAATCTCTATCAAAATTTCAAGGGTACCTTTTACAGAAATAGAACAAACAGTTCTAAAATTTGTATGGAACCACGAAAGATCTTGAATAGCCAAAACAAATCTAGAGAAAGAACAAAGCTGGAAGCATCATGCTCCCTCATTCCAAGCTATATTACAAAGCTATAGTAATTAAAACAGTATGGTATTGGCATAAAAATAGACACATAGATCGATGGAACAGAACAGAGGTCCCAGAAATAAGCCCACATATATATGGTCAATTAATTTATGACAAAGGAGCCAAGAATATACAATGGGGAAAGGACAGTCTCTTCAATAAATGGTGTTTGGAAAATTGGACAGCCACATGCAAAAGAATGAAACTGGACCACACACTCTACACAAAATTAACTCAATGGATTAAGGGCTTGCACATAAGACCTAAAACCATAAAACTCCTAGAAGAAAACATAGGTAGTAAGCTCCTTGATATAGGTCTTGGCAATGACTTTTAAATCTGACAAGAAAAGCAAAAGCAAAAATAGACAAGTGGGACTATATCAAATTTCAAAGCTTTTGAACAGGAAAGGAAACCATCAACAAAATGAAAAGGCAACCTACTGAATGAGAGAAAATAATTGCAAATCATATATCTGATAAGGGGTTAATATCTGAAATATACAAAGATCTCATATAACAATAGCAAAAAATCAATCTGATTAACAAACGGGCAGAAGATCTGAATAGACATTTTTCCAAAGAAGACATACAGATGGCCAACAGGTACAGGAAAAGATGCTCAATATCATTAATCATCAGGGAAATGCAAATCAAAACCACGACGATATATCACCTCACACCTGTTTGAATGGCTGTTATCAAAAAGACAACAAATAAGTGTTGATAAGGATGTGGAGGAAAGAGAACTCTTGTGCACTGTTAATGAGAATATAAATTTGTAAAACCATTGTGGAAAACAGTATGGAGGTTCCTCAAAAAATTAAAAATAGAACTACCATATGATTCACTAATTCCACTTCTGGGTATTTATCCAAAGAAAATGAAATCACTAATTTGGAAAGATATATGCACCCCCATGTTCATTGCAGCATTATTTACAGTAGCCAAGATATGGAAACAACTCCAGTGTCCATCAATGGATAAAGAAATTGTGATATATATATACAATGGAATATTATTCGGCCATAAAAAGAACGAAATCTTGCCATTTGTGACAACATTGATGGACCTTGAGGGCATTATGCAAAGAGAAATGTCAGGCAAAGACAAATACCGTATGATCTCTCTTATAAGCAGAATCTAAAAAAAATACAAAAACAAGCTTATAGATACAGAAAACACATTGGTGGTTACAAGAGCAGGGGAGTGGGAGGGAGGGAGGAGAAATGGGTGAACTTTTCTTTGAATTTAAATATATTGAATAAAAATTTAAAAAATAAATAACTAAATTTGAAGCATTAATAAACTCTCTGGAAAGTAAGAAACTCTCTGGTCAGGCCCTGATAAAGAATGAAATTCAAAGAACTAAGTAGAGTTCTGCAGCTGGAATTCATTCTAGGGACAATCGCCAAACTACACGAATTTGAATTTAGGTTTTCACGGACTCATGGAATGAAGGAGACAGGAAATAAAGCCCAGAGCCTGCCAAAAGCAGGGAGCCAAATAGATTTCCCTGCTAAAGCTAGGACTGTGAGCATATAAGGACCTCTTCAGTATAAGGAAGTTGTAGAACCAAAAACAAAACCAGTAAAATCTCTTTCAGTGGACTGAAAGATTGTCTTGAACCTTGATAATGAGTCCCAAATGAAAAATGACCAGTGAGAATTGAGAACCATAACATAGCCCTGACCCAGGTTTTCAATCTATAATCTTACCATCTGATTCAAAAGATACCCGGTCATACCCTTAAATTAGAGTGGTCCTGTATTGGCAGCATTTGGCAAAACTAAAGGCAAATTGCCTCTGTAGTACTCACCTTTATCCCAGGCCTTAAATGATTCCCATGAATAAAACTCCAAGGAAAATAAACTCATGAAAAAAAATAAAATAAAAACAACAAACTAAATTCACAAGGAAACAAAGTACCATAAATAAGAACCAGCATGAAACAACAGATAGCAGACACAGTCTTACAAAAATAGATAATTAAATAATCAGATAAAGATCATAAAATAACTATTTAATATGCTTAACAAAATAAAACACAAGCTTGAAAATATGTATAGGAAAAAAAGAAGTAGAATCAATGACCAGATTGAAAATAGTTCAAATAAAACAAGTGGGTTTAGCAGCATATTAGAGAGAGAAGAATAGAGAATTAGTAAAGTAGAAGATGGATCTGAAGAAATTATCTCAAGCCAGTATGGAGAGATGACATGGAATAAGTAAAAGAGAAGCAAAGAGACATGAATATTGGAGTAAGAAAATCTGACATACATCTCAGTTCCAAGAGGAGAAAAGAGAGAGACAGAAGCAATATTGGAATGACTTTGGCTGAGAATTTTTTAGTACCAATAAGAGACCAATCCACATTTTTAAGAAGCCCAATAAATCGTACGTGGGATAAACAAAAAGAACTTAGATAAATTATATTGAAACCACAGGACAATAAAGAAAAAGAGAACATCTTAAAAGCAGGCAAGCAGAAATAATAGATACTTTCAAAGCAGTGAAGCAAGGGGAGCCAATTTCTCGGCAGTAACAATAGAAATCAGGATGATATATTCAAGGTATTGAGAGTAAATAACTGCAACCTAGAATTCTAAACCCATTAGAATTATCTCTGAAAGACAAGAGTGGAACAAAGGCATTTTCAGACAAATAAAACCTGAGTTTACCAGCAATCATGCTATACAAAAAAATTCTTAAGGGTATATTTAAGGCAGAAGGAAATTCCTCCCAGATATAATTGCAAAAATCAATTGAAAGCAAAGAAAGTAGTAAGTATGTGGCTAAATCTAAGCAAACACTGACTATAAAACATAATAAAATATTGGGGATTCAAAAAATAAAGGTGCAATATATGATAATGATAGAGTTAGGGCCCACCTTAATCATCTCATTTTGACTTAATCACCTCTTTAAAGTCCCTAAATCCAAATACAGTAATACTCTGAAGTACTGGGTGTTAGGGCTTCAAGATATGAATTTTAGGGGGGAGGGCACAATTCAGTCCACAATGAGGCCTAGAAAGGAAGAAGTCCTCGGTGAGGCTGGAGGACAAGGGGTCAGGGAAGGATGTCTCCAAGGAAAAAAAGAGAGATTATTGGATGCATTTGCTATTGAGAGGTAATTGATTCTTTCGTGGGAGAGTTCAGGAAGAAACAATAATAGATACATAATCTTTAAACAAACAAATCATGAAACAATTACTAATTCCAGGGAACCAAAATGTACAAAACAAATATAAGAAACTACATAGTTGAGCTGTGAATTATATTTAAATAGTCATAATAACAATGCTATATAATGATTTTATGACAAATCCTGTGATATAACTATATTGGGAGGATGGAGAGGAATATTGGGAAATTGGGTAGTGCTGCAAGAGAGAAGCTTTTACCTTCCATAGTAGAAAGTTAATAGATGTTTAAAATGGTAAATTTGAGGACTAACACATGCATGTTATTTAGAATTATGAAGGTAGATAATGGGAGAAACAATGAAAAGATTTGAAAATGATATCCTTTGGGGATCAGGATTCAGTAGGTAGGAAGCAGCAGGAAAGGGGACTATGTGCATATATTACTTTGATAAAATAAATTTAATGTGGATGGTTAGAACAGTATAACATTGTTTTCTTTATTTCAGATTATAGAATTAATGCATGTTCATTATAGAAACTTTGAAAAATACAGAGGCACCAAAGGAAAATACTTTACTGTTAAAATGATTATCTCAACACACGCTGCAC